ACCTTCCAACATCACTGCATTGGGGATTAAGACTCCAACACATGCCTTTTCAGGGACACATTCAAACCATAGCAATGGGCGCGCGTGCGCGCGCACACACACACACACACACACACACACACACCCCAAATAATAAATGAAAGCCTGATTCCCCAACTTGGGAAGTCCACACTCTTCATATAACATAGTTACTGCAATAATTACTCATGGCTGATTACAGTTGATGAGCTGAAATCTATTGGACATCTCTGTAGTCTGACTCACTTGTTAGAAGTAGAAACCAAGGCCTTGGGTTGGTGGCTCAGGGTCATAAAAAAACATGTCTGCTGACACACAATGAGTTAATAGCTCAGCTGGGACCAAATCCTTTGTCTTATTCCAAATGCTAAGTTCTTTCTCTGCCCTACTACAGAAACAGCTTCAAATAAACTTTCAGCCAGAAAATAATGGTGTGGAACATATTCCAGAGCTTGGTATCTGATTGCTGTAGTTTCCATAATTGTCCTGCATTTTCTGGGGTCTTTACGATGAACTGATATCAGAAAGTTAAGGTATGTACGTAACTCGAAGGTGACTTCAGAGTGCGGTTAATCTCCTGTGTACAATGAGTTTTTTAAAAGATTCATTTTATTGAAAGTGGAGGCAATGCTGAGCAGTGAGCCTATTTGAATGCAATGGCACTTTTAAGGGAATCAGGTCCAGCCAATTTCTGATTCCGTAAGGCTAAATTCTATTAGGCATTAAAACTCAAATTTCAGGCACCTTGCACTGATGAAATCAAGGAACATCTGTAGATAGTTTCTAGCATTATGACCTCTGAATACTGATTACTGTAGGAAGAGCTAGGCCGCAATGCTAACAGGCTAAAGTAAAGAAGCATTTGTTCCTAAAAATGCATTAAGTACCTTTCTTGTACCTTTCAATTGGACTGAGAGGATGTTGCTAAATTCTTCCTGTATGTTTTCAGTTGATATTGTTGTTTCAGAGCATTTATAGGCTTAACAATAGACCTGCTCATAAAAAGTACTATTAATTGTGCATCAGCCACATTCCAGACATTTTATGTACATTATTCCAATCCTTCTAATAACCCTGAAAATCAAGAGTATTATCTTCATCTTACAGAAGAGAACAGGAAAACTCATAGGGGTTAAATACCTTGCTCTGTCCTCCATTTCTCTTCCCTTTGTCTGGCCATGGTGGCTCAGATTATGAACTTAGCTTCTCTAGCCGGGTTGAATGTACCCACATGCCCTGAGCTGCTTTGCGAACTGACATATATTCTGAGAGATGATTGTTATCCAACTTGTTGGATTTGTAGTTTCAGCCATTTCTGATTTGTTCTGCTCAGCAGTTCTTCCTGACCAGCTGTCAGGGCAATTAGAAGGAAGGATTGATGTTCAGAATAACAGGAGTAGGGGAAGAGGGCAGGGATCTATCCTTGAGGGTTGAGAGGCCAGGAATTGATCTGATGTGATGACAGAAGACTTTAGAAGGATATGTGGGGGTTGACTTTGGGGACAGACTATATTTCCATTACATGGTGAAGAAGGGATTAAAAAATGGGTATTAGTTAAGACTTTAGTTGTTGTTGCAAGTTCCATAATTAAACTTGGCTCAGCTAAGTAAAGGAGGACAATGCTTGGGTGTCTTCTCACAGTATTCAAAGGCAGGAGTGCAGCTGCCTTTTGGTAATAACCTGCAGCTAGGAATCTGAATAAGACTGCCATTCTCCACATCTTTCTTCTGTGCTTCTTTCTTTCTGCCTTATTTTCCTTCCCTCCAGCTGGTGGTCCACAGGGCAGGAAGCATGGTCACTAAGATGGTCTTAGTCTTATATGTAGGAGGTACAGTAACTAAGACAGAGACTAGTCTTTGGGTTTTCACTCTTGCATTACTTTCTTTCTCTTGTTTTCTTCTTTTTGCTCCCTGCTCTCCTCTCAAGTCCCACAGCTTCCAGGAATAAATGATCAAAGCGGCATGGGTAAGGTGTTAACCCCTGGACCAACTGTGGCACGGACAATCACACGTGTTAGAAACATGACAGGTTTTGCTGACATCATGTAGATGGGATGAGGAGTGGCAATTTCTAGGAAAGTGGTGCAGGGAAGACAGTTCTACAGCAAATACTCTCAAAATCCAGAATCCGACAGGACCAGGCCAAAGGTCCAGTAAGAGTATTAATCAATATGGTGATTATGTGCAATAATAAAAATAGCCAACTTTTACTGAGCCCAACCAGTACTGTGCCAAGTGTTTTATATACATTATCTCCTTTAATCATCACAACTCTTAAGAAGTAAGTAGTAGTATTCTTATTTTATAAGTCAGAAACCAAGCTCAGTATACCCTGTACAGTTAATTACTATACATACTACCTTACATAATAACTGGCCTATTTTTATAGAAGTATAACATGAAACTGGGCGCAGTGGCTCACGCTCTTAATCCCAGCACTTTGGGAGACCGAGGTGGTCGGATCAGAGGTCGGCTCGGAGGCCTGAGGTCAGGAGTTCAAGACCAGCCTGGGAAACTTGGTGAAACCCTGTCTCTACTAAAAATACAAATATTTGCTGGGCATGGTGGTGGGCACCTGTAATCCCAGCTACTCAGGAGGCTGAGGCAGGAGAATCGCTTGAACCCAGGAGGCGGAGGTTGCACTGAGCCGAGATCGCGCCACTATAGTCCAGCCTGAGCTACAGCATGAGACTCCATCTCAAAAAAAAAAAAAAAAAAAAAAAAAAGATAGCATGATGTGAGGTGATTGAGGAGATTTATTACATGCTAGTGCAAATTAACTCTTTCTAATACTCTTTTATTATCAGCAAAGCAAATGGCTGCTACATGCAAAGGGCTGTGTGAGGTATGTTAATATGCTTTGTGATCATGCATAGTTTTTTATTTGAGTGCTTAAAGTTGTCAACTGTCTGTATTTCTGTCCCAATTGTATAGAGTGAGACAGAGATATACAAAATGACTTATAGAAAGTCCAATGTAAAGCCAAAGTGAAGAAGACAAGTGAAAATACAATTTAGGTTTCTGATTGCCCAGATTTTCTGATGCCCCTACCTCTTTTCACTTGAGTAGCTACAGAGAGTTTCTATTTCTATAGGAAAAAAATTGACTCCATGGTTCTGAATAATAACTGATACCTTCTACACTGTTTTATGATGCTGGAGAGGAATTGACAATATATAAAATTTCAGAAAACTATGAAGAAGAAAGGCATTTCATAACCTTGGACACAGCAGCAGCGCCGCCATAAATATATTTATCTCAATTTGATTTAACACAATATGATTTAACTCAAGGGCAAAAAAAGGATAAACTAGGATGGTTGTACCCCTGATTCTGATATGACTGCAATCTCACTGACCAAATATTAGCATATCTAAGGAGGCATGATGATTTGGACCCCAAACAGCTTCGTTCTAACCTTGCTTCTCGTCTGTTTATTACTTGTAGAATTTTTTTTAGCCTTGGGTGTTTCCTCCTTTATGAAATGAAAATGTTAATAACAACTACCTTCACTATCTCACAAGTTTACCTTGCAAATCAACTGAGATAATTTATTTGAAAACACCATAGACACTAAAAGTATTACACAGTCTTTATCTTTTGTAATTAGCACTTACTTCAGTAATTCAAAAACTATAGTGAATTATAAAATGAATACCCCTGTATCTACCACACAGCCTAAGAAATAATGAATTGCTGGGCTGGGCGCGGTGGCTTACGCCTGTAATCCCAGCACTTTGGGAGGCTGAGGCAGGAGGATTGCCTGAGCTTAGGAGTTCGCAACCAGCCTGGGCAACACGGTGAAACCCCATCTCTACTAAAATACAAAAAATTACCCAGATGTGGTAGTATGCGCCTGTAGTCCCAGCTACTCGGGAGGTTGAGGCAGGAGAGTTGCTTGAGCCCAGGAGGCGGAGGTTTCAGTGAGCCGAGATCGCGCCATTGCTCTCCAGCCTGGGCAACAGAGTAAGACTGTGTCTCAAAACAAACAACAAAACAAAAAAATAAATAACAGATTGCTCATTTCAGGTCCCTCTCATCTCACCCTGGTTATATATTTCCCTGATCCAGTCACTCACCTTTTATTTCTGTAATTAATGATCTTGAATTTATTTAGCATTCCCAAAGGTAAACAATTAGTAAATAATTAGAAATAATTTTGCAACAGATACATATTTCTCTATGCAATTTATAAGCAACCCTTGTACACACAGTATAATATAAATTATATCATGCTGGGGCATTCTTATGCCACCTACCTTTTTCACTCAAATTATTTTTGCAGAATTTGTCCATGTTACATGATAATAGCTCATTTACATAATCATGTTAGATCATCATAGCTCAGCTTATTTTTGGTGGTGTATAGTATTCCATTATAAGACCAATCCATATACTTATTCATTCTCTCATTGTTAAAAAATTAACTTGTTTTTTGTTTTCTTTTAAAATTTATTTTTGTATATAATTCTGCAGTCCATGTTCTTTTGAATTAAAAATAATTAAATTTTTGTAGAGGTGGGAGTCTCACTTTGTTGCCCAGGCTGTTCTCAAACTCCTGGGCTCAAGTGATCCTCCTGCCTCGGCCTCCCAAAATGCTGGGATTACAGGCTTGAAACACCACGCCCAGCCCCAGTTCATGTTCTTTTAAAATTACTTTGTGCATACAGCTTTGTTCCTGCTCAAGTAAGGGTCTTCTTTTTTTTATTTTAGATATTTTTATTTCTCCAAATTTGTTGTTTGTCAAGAGTAACTGAAATAAAAAAAAAAATTGAGTCCCATCCTCATCATCATGGAAATGGCTTTAAGAGAAAACTGGTCAGATGAACATTATTGCTTCTCATTTTCAACCAGCAAATAGTTTCCATGGATAAATTGACAGCCAGGAGTCTGTCAAGAATGCTCAAGACATGTTATATAATACAACATGCCTGTTCACGGGAAGAAAAATCCTAGAAAACAGCTTTTGTGTACTTCTTGATTTCATTATACAAGACAAGCACAAAAGCACCATCTGTGCCTCTGAGAATATTGGATCATACTCCCTTGAAGAAAGCTTTGCCTCCTACATCACGAGCACTCTTCCTCCAGCAGTCAAGCATGCCTGTGTGCATGGTATCAGTTCCTTTGCGCCCTGACTGCATCATCATGTGGTGGCGAATGGTGTCCAATGGATAGGAAGTCAACCCAGCAACAGCAGTGACAGTCTCTGTGATCATCCAGCTGATGACAATGGGAATGTTCTTGGGATCCGGAAGCATTCCCTTTGCAGTGTCATAGATACAGAAGTAGGCAGCTAGGTAGATGCTAATACCCTGCACAGACACGTTAAAGCCTTGGTACAGGCACTTAATCCCATTAGATTTGTAGATCTTAACCAGGCAGTCACCGAGGCCTCGGAATTCCCTTTCAGCTCCAGCTTTACCCACATCGGCTGCTAGACGAGTAAGGGCAAAATCAAGAGGGTACACAAAACACAAGGATGTGGCCCCAGCGGCACCACCTGATGCCAGATTCCCTGCAAAGTAGTGCCAAAACTGGGTCCTCTTGTCCACATCACCCAGGAAGATCTGCTTGTATTTATCTTTGAAGGTGAAGTTGAACGCCTGGGTGGGGAAGTATCTGATGACATTGGCCAGGTTACTGCGCCAGAAGGACAGGACTCCCTGCTCCTTGGATATGTGGACCACACATTCTATGATGCCCTTGTATTGCTTATCTGCGGTGATCTGTTTGCTGGCATGCTGCACCTGCAGCAGCAGCTTGACCTGCTCAATGGGTGCTACCGCCATCTTGGACATGGCTGCGGCCACTCCACCTGCCAGGAAGTCCTTGGCAAAGGACACGGCGGCATCTGTCATGTTGAAAGGAAAGACGAGGCAGGCTGCTGCGGGACGGGACTGGGCTGGGAACTGGCTTTGACTCTGGGGCTGTGGGGAGGACCATTTTAATGTCCTACACCTCTTATATCAGGAGCCATGGAGGTGAGATATGCATCCTCCTCAGTGTTTTGTTGTTGCTGTGAGACCCTTCTCCCTCTCTCCTACTTAGACTCTATAAGATCTGAATGTCCTAACAGACCATCACTCCCACTGTCCCCACTGTTGAGTTGTCTGCTTTCTCCCACTTCATTGTCCCTATTTCTCAATGATTTTTGTCAATGGCAGCCTTTTTTCTTTCTTTCTTTTTGTTTTTTTTGAGATGGAGTCTTGCTCTGTTGCCCAGGCTGGAGTGCAGTGGCGCGATCTTGGCTTACTGCAAGCTCTGCCTCCCAGGTTCACGCCATTCTCCTGCCTCAGCCTCCCCAGCAGCTGGGACTACAGGTGCCCTCCACCACACCCGGCTAATTTTTTGTATTTTTTAGTAGAGACGGGGTTTCACCGTGTTAGCCAGGATGGTCTCGATCTCCTGACCTCGTGATCTACCTACCTCGGCCTCCCAAAGTGCTGGGATTACATGCGTGAGTCACCGCGCCCGGCCCAGCCTTTTTTCTTAATTAAAAATTTTAATTTTTGTGGGTACATAGTACCAGTACATTGTATATATACTGTCAGTCTTTTGAACAACATTCCTGGGCTAGGCGCGTTGACTCACGCCTGTAATCCCAGCACTTTGGGAGGCCTAGACAGGTGGATCATGAGGTCAGGAGATGGAGATCATCCTGGCTAACATGATGAAACCCCGTCTCTACTAAAAATACAAAAATTAGCCGGGCATGGTGGCGGGCGACCGTAGTCCCAGCTATTTGAGAGGCTGAGGCAGGAGAATGGCGTGAACCCAGGAAGTGGAGTTTGCAGTGAGCCAAGATTGCGCCACTGCACTCCAGCCTGGGCAACAGAGAAAGACTCCATCTCAAAAAAAAAAAAAAGCCACAAAAAACAAAAAACAAACAAACAAAAACCCCCCAACATTCCTGCCTTAATTCTTGGTAATTTTAATATCCAAATAAATGATTCTTCTACCACCATGGCGTTGAATTTGTTCAATTCCTCCCCTTCAGCCTATTTCAGCGACTCACTCACATGGTCATAGCACAGAATTTCCATCACCTTTTCATAATTGCAGGTTCAAACATTCCACCTTGTGTTTGCCTTGTCCTGTCTTGCTCGTTTTAGTCTCACCACCTGAACAAACTCCAGGATCTACAATCCACTGCCTGGTGCAACTTTTCAGTATCCCTGATTCACGCTCATGTGCTTTTGACTCTTCCCACAGTTTAAATTCCATCATCAATCATTATAGCCATTTCCTCACATACACCCTCAACACCCTTTCCCCTCTCCTGCGGTGATTACTTGCTTGGCAGAACTTTGATCCTGGTGAAGTCCAACTGTCCTTCTACTTTGCATCATCACAGCAGAAGAAAAATACATAGCATGCTTACTGGTCTCACTTTAAGTTCATCCTTAGTGTCAATGGATCTTTCATGCTGTCTGACAGTCTTGTTTCCCTTGTCTATTTCTTACTCTACTGTGACTGTTTTACACTTTCTCTTCTCAAAACTCCAACACCTCACCCACGCTCCTCACTATCATCTGATGAACTGCTTCTTATTTTACTGGGGACATAGCAAAATAGAACTTCCACAAGCTCCTGCTACATCCACTACCTATCGGCGTCTATGCCCCTGTACCCTGTGTTCCCTCCTGGCTACTATAAAATGACCATCTGTGCTTCTGTATAAATCTGAGCCATATACTTCACATAATGCCATTTGCTTTCATGTACTCAAGCACATAAACGTGCAGGAGTTTCTCACATTTCAGTTCTTGAAACAAATAAAAGCATGCATACATACACAAAAATTTCTGCATCTCTCTTGTCCCTCTAGCTACTACCTCATTTCTTGGTTTCTACTGGGTTCAAACCTCCATCACCTCTCCTGTAACAAGACTTCTGACTTCCTACTTCCACGCTGCACCCTTATAGGCAAGTTTTTATTATAGTGATACGGTTTGGCTGTGTCCCCACCAAAATCTCATCTTGAATTGTAGTTCCCATAATAAGCATGTATCACGGGAGGGACCCCGTGGGAGGTAATTAAATTAGGGGGCAGTTATCTCCGTGCTGTTCTCATGATAGTGAGTGAGTTCTCACAGCATCTGATGGTTTTATAAGGGGCTTTTCCCCCTCTTCACTCCTCACTTCTCCTTGCTGCTGCCATGTGAAGAAGAATGTTTTGGCTTCCCCTTCTGCCATGATTGTGAGTTTCCTGAGGACTCCCCAGCCATGAGGAACTGTGAGTCAATTAAACCTCTTTTCTTTATAAATTACCTAGTCTCAGGGATTTCTTCATAGCAGCATGAGAACAGTTTAATACATATAGCAACCAGAGTGACTCTGTTAAAAATTTAAATCAAATCACTCTTCTGTTCAGAACTCTTCAATGGTTCTCCGTCACACTCAGAGTAAAATTCAAAGTCCTTTAAAGTCCTGCAAGGACCCAACCATCTAGCTGCTTATGACTTCTTTGATCCAGTCTCCTACTGCTTACCTCTTGCTCACTCTGTCTTGTTACGCTGAAGCCTGCCAAGCATGCCCTGACCTCAGGTATTTTGCACTTGCTTTACCACTTGCCTGAAATTCTCTTCCCCCATATATCCACAGGACATTCTCCCTCACCTCCTTCAAGTTTTTGTTTAAAGTATCATCTTCTCAATGTGTTCTTCCCTGAATATCCAAACAAAATTGCAGTTCCTGCCCCCAGCTTTCCCTATACCACTTTCCTGCTTTATTTTTCTCCATAGCATTTATCATATTCTAGTATAACATACACTCATTTACTAATTTTATCTATCATCTGTCTTCCATGACTATAATATAAGAAAGGCTCATGAGAGCTGAACCTTTGGTCTCTTGTTTTTATTGTTTGTTTGATTTGTTTGTTTTTTTGCAGTATCCACAGTAAGTGCCCAATACTTTTTTTATTTTGTTTTTTGTTTTTTGAGACGGAGTCTCGCTCTGTTGCCAGGCTGGAGTGCAGTGGCGTGATCTCAGCTCACTGCAACCTCTGCCTCCTGGGTTCAAGCAATTCTCCTGCTTCAGCCTCCCAAGTAGCAGGAATTACAGGTGCGTGCCACCACGCCTGGCTAATTTTTTGTATTTTTAGTAGAGATGAGGTTTCACTGTATTATGCTGGATAGTCTCAATCTCCCGACCTAGTGATCTGCCCAATGTGGCCTCTCAAAGTGCTGGGATTACAGTTCTGAGCCACCATGAAATATTTCTTAAATGTGAAGGTTGTATATTGTTTCTTAGAATTATTTATAGGTATCTTTCAGAATCTTCTGTTATTAAACAGAATATTATTTAAAACTGCATTACCTAACTATGTGTATGAAAATGATTGCATTTTGTACATAAATCTTGTATTTAGTAAACTGGCTAAATTATTCATTGTTCTACAAAATTTTCTGTGAATTCTGTGGCTTTATGAATAAAAATGTTTATCTTTAGATAATTAATAGTTTTGCTTCTTTCTAATCTTTGCTTTAACTTCATGTGTGAGTTTATCTGGGTGATGCATAGTCATGTTGGAAGGCAGAAATGATACTGAGAAACTTGACTTGTTCCTGATTTTAAAGGGCATGCTTTTAAGGTTTAATCATTAACTATGATTTAACACATCCATTTATAGTAGATATGATTTCTTAGATTAAGGGAATTCCCTTCTCTTCCTAGTTTTTAAATTTGTTTTTGAATCATTCATTGGTATTAGATGATTTTTTTTCCTACAATTATTGAGAGTGTTATGTGGTGTTTTAAAATGTTAAATCTTTTAAATGAACAGATTTTATCTTTAGAATTTCTAAGGTTGAACCATTCTTGCGTTTATGTGGCAAATCCAACTTGTTCATGATGTGTTATTTTAAAAAATATTGTTGGGTTTAGCTAGTTGATTACTTACAATTTTGTGACTATGTTCATGAAAATATTGGCCCATAATATTCTATTTTTAGATTGTTCTTGCCTGGTTTTGATTTCAGTTATACTAGCTTCTTGGTAAGCATTTACTTTTTTTTTTTTCTATTCACTGCAGAATTTCCACCATGTTGGAATGATCTTTGACTTGACAGTTGATTGGAATCACCTGTAAAGTATCAGGGAATGGAGATTTCATGTGTAAATGTGTTTTAACTATGATTCAACATCTCTAAGGATTCCAAAAAAATTTTAGATGTTCTATCTTTTTTTTTTTTCAGTTTGGCAAGTTACGTATTATTTTCTCAGAAATTGTACATCATAGCTAGACTTTCAAGTTTACTGGCTTAATATACAAAATCCTTCTTTTCTTTTTAATTTTGACTGTAGTTAGTAGATTACCTTTTTGCTACTAATAGAATTTTTTTCTTTTTTGAGATGGAGTCTTGCTCTGTCACCCACGGACTGGAGTGCAATGGCGCAATCTTGGCTCACTGCAAGTTCCACCTCCCAGGCTCCCGTCATTCTCCTGCCTCAGCCTCCCGAGTAGCTGGGACTACAGACATGCACCACCATGCCTGGCTAATTTTTTTTTTTTTTGTATTTTTAGTAGAGATGGGGTTTCACCATATTAGCCAGGATGGTCTCGAGCTCCTGACCTCGTGATCTGCCCACCTCGGCCTGGGTGCTGGTAGACACAGAGTAACATAGGTAGGTCATGTGTGCTTAAACTTTGTTTTTCTTATCATTTGATGAATCCCAAATGAGAACCCCGACGAAGTGGGTTGCTCAGCTATTCTAAAACAGATGAACTAATTTCGTTAATGTGGGTGTAAATAATGCTTATAATGTAAGTTTCAATTTCAGCGTAAATTTTCATACCTATCTAGCTAGATCACAAGTAAACTTTTCCTTGAAACTTCACAGATAACTTCTTCAT